TTCAGCAAATGCAGCCAGGGGCTCCTTTTAAAGGGGCAGTCCTTTTTTTGTTTGTTTTTTGTTTTGCTAGACAACTTTGCCCCAGCTCTTCACGCTGGATCCACTAATATCTTGGCTGTTTCCCCGGAATGGGTTGGCCACTTGTTGTTTATATCCTTTCATGACTGTGCTCCAGTCATGTGAGTCATCCCACCAAGTCTCCATTATTCCAATCAAATAATAGTTCTTTGACTGTGCCAATGCTTCTAATTCTTCCTGTTTATTTCCCAGGCTTCTTGCATTCGTGTACAAATACCTTAGATAACTACTTGATTGCCTTATCTTCTCCATTTGAATCAAGGGTCCTCCTTTGTTGCTCCTTCTTCCTTGTGTTTTTTCATGAATCCCACCTCTTCACTTACCTCAGGGTTTAGGTCACTGTGCCCCAATGAACCTAGTTTAAAGCCCTTCTCACTAGGTTTCCAAGCCTGCCAGTGAAGATGCCCTTTCCTCTTTTGGTTAGGTGGATCCCATCTCTTCCTAACAATCCTTGTACCCGAAACAGAGTCCCGTGGTTGAAGAAACCAAAGCTCTCTCTCTGACACCACCTGCGCAACCATGCGTTTACTTCCATGATTAGACGATCCCTACCTGGACCTTTTCCTTCAACAGGGAAGATGGACAAGAACACCACTTGCACTTCAAATTCCTTGATCCTTCTTCCCAGCACTACATAATCTGCAGTGACCCTCTCAAGGTCATTCTTGGCTGTATCATTAGTTCTACATGGATAAACAGAAAGGGGTAGCAATCCGAAGGTTTGATCTATTTTGAAAGACTCAAGTCCTCTAATTTTTTCTTCCAAAATGGTGACCAGTGGGAGGAAGATAAATATGGCATATGCTGTGCAGGTAACAACAACAGACCTATCACTATCCATACCTGCCTTCCTTCTGAGAGATTCCTCAGATGTTTTTAAATGTCTCGCTGAAGGGCAAGAGAGAAACAAAATTCAAGAAAAATACCACCAAACACTATGGGGCTCCCCCAGGGTGAACTCCCAGGCAAACTCCCCTCTTGGCTGCTGCCCTGTTGACTGCTTACTGCATTTGCTCTGGCTGCCTTTTTATAAGGCTACTGGCTTTATTTTTCTTACACATCATACATGTGATCAAGTCATGATCACTTGTACCTAAGTTACCATTAATTTTTAATTCTGTGATCAGTTTCTCTTTATCAGTTAAGACAGTCTAATAAATAATTCCTTTGTGTTGGCTGCAACACTTTTTGAATTAGGAACTTCTCATCTATAATCTTTAGAAATTCCAAGGATAACTTAGTACTGGGAAAGTGTGACCACAGACATACATCACTCAGATTGAAGTCTTCCATGATCACACAATTTTTTCCCCTACACATTATAGGTAGGTATGTAAGGAAGTGGTCATCATGTTCCTAGTGAGATTTGGTAGTCTCTAATAAACACCAGCTAATACCCCTTCTTGTGTTTTATATGTTAGGATATTGACCCATTAGTATTCAAGATCATTTAGTTATCTGTGGCTCAGAAACAGATATTGTCATTTTTGACAAAGTTCCATTCCTCTATTTTTACTCATTTGTTCTTTCTCAAATAGGTTATTACTATTGATTTTAACATTTTAATCAGAGGATTCATCCCACTCAATAATTCTAACTGGATTGAATTTACACTCATAAATGAGCAATCTCAGTTCCCCTTATTTGGTATCCATGCCCCTAGCATCAGTATATAGGCAGTTCAGGAATTTCTTCTCTTCATGTCCTTTGGCTTCGGGATTAAGTTAACAGCAAAAGGGGAAGGTAAAAAGAGGGAAGATATGAGCAATCAGCATAAAATTGAGGCATGAGAACACAGTTAGGGTACGTAGATTTGTTGATTTGGCAAAGGCAAATAAAGCCGCGATTTAAATGATCGCGGCTTCATTTACATTTACATGGCTGCTGCGCTGAGCCGACAAACAGCTAATCAGCTGTTTGTCCGCTCAGCGTGCTAGTCTGAACGCTCCCCTTCCAACATCAAAGCCCTTTGTCGGCAGCCCCGTTATTCCTCGTGGGATGAGGTTTACCAGGGCTGCTGACAAAGGTCTTTGATGTCGGGAGGGGAGCGTCCAGACTAGCGCGCTGAACGGACAAACAGCTGATCAGCTGTTTGTCGGCTCAGCACAGCAGCCATGTAAATTTAAATGAAGCCGCGATCATTTAAATCGCGGCTTTATTTGCCTTTGCCAAATCAACAAATCTACGTACCCTAACTGTGTTCTCATGCCTCAATTTTATGCTGATTGCTCATATCTTCCCTCTTTTTACCTTCCCCTTTTGCTGTTAACTTAATCCCCTATTCTAGCCAGGCTGTCTCTGAGGACATTGTTCCCCTTTCTATAGAGCTGGAAGCCATGTAAACTATTCAGCTCTCTCTCCATACAGAAGGTGGATCAATGTTCCACAAAACACTGAGCCAGCACTTAACTTCCAGAATCTTTTGCTTTTCATCCTTCACTCATGGAAAGTGTCTCAGAAGATCTCCTGAATGACCTTCCTCTTCAGTACTCTTCTCAGTTCCCTGAAGTTTTCTGCTTCCCTTAAGTCATCTGCTATGTACAAAATGTCCTGCACTGCAGTATCAGTAATAATAATTTCTCATGGGTCCTTGCCTGTTAACTTCAGAAGCCTGTCCAATCATAGGATGATGTCTCATATCTTAGCTCTGGGAATTTAGGCCAACTGTTCTGTGTCTTCCTGTCCCTTGCAGAATCTTCTTTTGAATCTTCTTAGTACTGAATCGCCAACAAGGACTGTTTGTCTTCTTTGGGTGGTTGGAGAATCTTTGCAGTCAAGCTTATAGGTAGGGCTGAACTGTCATCCATGTGTGTGTTCCCTACATCTCTTTGTCCCTTTGGAACTGCTGGATCTTGAGAGGTGCCTTTCAAAGTTTGTGCATTGAGGATCTGGCATTAATTTGAAATGTCTAGATGTGTGGATTTGCTCTCATTTCTCTTATCTTTGATGACCAGCTTGTTCATCTTCGTCTGTCGTCAGCCATGTAGAATGTCTTCTTGCATTTATGGACTGTCAGGCCTCCTCACTGATGTCTTCTCTGTTTGATTCTTTAGTACCCAGTTCCGTACTTACTTTATTCTTGGATATTGGTGTTTCCCAAACTTGATTATCTAGGAATTTTTCAGCATCTCTACTTGCCCTTCCAGTCCCAGATTCTTTCCCTCCAGTGCAGCTACCAGATTGCACTTCATGCACATGAAATCACTCCCCTCGTCAAGGAGGAAAGAGAACATGGCATATCCATTACAGGTCACTATCACTGTTCAATCACTAGCCATCTTGCTATCACAGATAGCACTGAACCTGGCAAGAAAGCTTCTAACATTTCCTCTCTCATCTCCCTCTGAAATCTGAGTGATTAGTTGTTCCTTGATGGTCTGGGGTAGACCTGAACTAATGGGAATTCAAACAGCTGAGCTGGTAACATCTCCAAGGATTGGAGCCTTGCATTTTTTAGCCACACACTGATCAAAGCTCCATGGGTTAGAGCCTCTTGGTCTTTAGCAAGGCACCTTGCTTACTCTGGGGTTCATGACCCAGTTAGCCCACAAACAGAGATCAAACCAACTTTTAGTTAGGCCACTCACTGATGACTAACTCCCCCCACTCCAAATTCCACTACCTCCAAGCACTGAGTTTACAGTTACTGCTTCCAAAACTCCTGTTAGCTGCTTGTTTTCCTTGACACTCTCACAGCACATTCTCCTGTTCCACGGGCTGTGAAGAAAGTAGGATATTTAACAATAGCTACTCTACCCCTCTTAAAGACTTCCCTGTGCAGAAAAATCTTCAGATGACCACTTAGGTCAGCTTTAAGACTGCCTTGTATAGTGGAGTACCATAAAGCTGTTATGAAAGAAGATTGAGGCAGTCTGGCCTCATAGTCAGAACAGGAGTCAGGTCTAATAGAGGAAGCAGACATCCAGGTTGGAGAATGAAGCCAAGAGTCAGCATCAGAATCAACTGCCAATTACCCGAGCCAGAAGTCAACCCAGAGTAAGTACCTGGGAACAAATCTGAGGGTCACAGCCAAGGTCAGATATCAAAGCCAAGCATCAATCCAGAGTCAGGCTCAGATGTTGGAGACTGGGATCAGAGCCAAGACTGGGAACTGATGATTGGAGATGTGATGGAAGGGAAGAGACCAGAGGAGAGACAAAGATCAAGCATGGAGAGAGCAGGAGTATGATGAGAACAGAGTGAGGAAAAAGGTGAGGCAGATCCAGGAGCAAAGCAGCAATCAGGAGGAGAGTTGGGTGCAAGAGGCAGACACAGGCAGTGTCCAGTGCAGCTATAACAGGAAATTACCTTATTGCTCAGAAAAAATTCTTGTTACTCCTTCATGGTTGGACTAATTGATGAATCCAGGTGACCCCCAATCAGAGGGCCCATGAGTGGTGCATTGACTGAGACAATAGTCCTACGAGCGTCTCAGTTTACAAGATTTCAGCAAACTCAGTGGTTGTTGGGGGACTCCCCAGCCTATGTTTGAGATCTGGAACATCACAAAAGCAGCCTTAATGAGCACCTGGCTCATGTTCTGGGGGTATGTCTACACAGCAAAGTTATTTCGAAATAACGGCCGTTATTTCAAAATAACTGTACTGGCATCTACACAGGCCAACTGCTACATCGAAATTAATTTGAAATAGCGGAGGGCTTATTTCAAAATTGGTAAACCTCATTCCATGAGCAATAGCACCTATTTCGAAATTGCTATTTTGAAATAAGCACTAGAAGCTTATTTCGAAATAGGGGGCCTCCAGCCCTTCCCAGGATGCTCTGGTGGCCATTCTGGGCACAAACAGGAAAACTTTTCTCCCTCCCCCTCCCAGAGCCCTTAAAAGGTCTGGCTACAGTCTTTTGTGGCTAGCACAGGGCCTGCCAGCCCAGAGCCACTCTGCTGCTGCCCTGAGCCAGGCCGCAGCATGAGCCAGCAAGCCACTGATAGCCAGCCCTCCACCACTCCCCAGGACAAGTCTGCCAGCTCCCAGGAGCCTGCCAGGGACTGGAAAAGGCAGACACCTGCCTGGTCCAATGGAGAGATCAGGGACCTCATTGAGGTTTGTGGAGAAGCCTGCAACGTCCATGATCTCCGCACTAGACGGAGGAATGCGGCCATCTACAGCTGCATGGCTGCCAGCCTGGCCACCAAAGGCCACATCCGAACCCAGGAGCAGGTTCGGATGAAAACCAAGGCTCTGCAGCAGGAGTATGCCAGACCTACAGGGGGCAGATCCCAAACAGGGACAGACCGAGATACCTGCCCCTATTTTGATGCCCTGGTCCGCATCCTGGGGGGGCGGAATGGTCCATGCCCCTCATGTGGTCATCAACCCTGGGGCAGAGGGTCCTGACCAGACACAGAATAGGAAGAGGAGGAGGAGGGCCAGGAGCCACAGGAGCCCAGAGGGAGTATGCCACACAGCCACGGCCCCCAAGCCATCCCACTGGACCTGTTGCTGGTGTAGTCCAAGGCCGGGGAGGCAACATGTGAGTGCCATCACTGTCCCCTTGTGCGGGGATGAGAGGGAAGGGAGACCAGGGACTGCTCGTGTGGGCCTTGCTGGCCACGGCTCACACAGCAATCTGTGCATGTGCTGTGCCACCCCTGGGCACGTGGCCCCAGCTGACTGACACACAGGGGCCAGGATCTGTTACCCACACGCGTGTATGTATGAAGGCACATGACATGATCCTGACTCCGGGGTGGGACACAGCAGGACACCCTCCCTCCACAAGCCTCCTCTGCACAGAAGCAGGGGACTTCTCACCCCCCACACACAGACCCACACCACATACAGCACAGCGGCATGGGTGCACTCCCGGGCCAGCTCCCACTCCCGGAGATAGCGGGACATCCCGAACATGGCATCTGTGCTAGCACATTGGCTCTGATGGTACAGAGACCTTTTGTCCTTGCCTTGCAGAGGGGGCCTGGGCTTCACCCACTGTGTCCCCAGGGAGAACTGACCACATCTCTTGTTTCTCCACAGCCGCACCTGCTGCGAGTGCAGGGCTCACTACCCCACCCAGAACATCCAGGCACTCAACAGGCTGACCCGAAATCAGGAGGAATACCAGCGGCAGCACCTGGGGATACTTCAAGGCCTGCACCGCAGCCTGGACTACTGGGTGCACGAAGACCTGAAATTCCGGGGGGAGAGTGGGCAGGAACTGCTTGTCCAGGGCCGTGCCATCTGTGACCACCTGCGGACCCTGGTGCAGAGATTGCTGCCTCCTGGTGCTCCAGCTCCTGCTAAGCAAATAGTTCATGAATAACTCTTAGGTTGAACTGTGTTCATGTAAAGTATCAGTGGAATAATTCAAAATAATGAATAAACTCATCAAAGTCTTTCACCCAGCTCGATCTGTAAATTACAAATTTCAGGACCTGTTATCCTAGAGACTGAAGGCATCCATTAGCTTTCAGTGATCACTTCTGCACCACAGAGACTTTTTTCAGAATATGCTGCATTCATTTAAGTGACCAAGGGCATCTAAACCACCCACACTAATACAGCCTCCATAATGAATGTTTTCTGCCAGCACAGTGAGCACTGTTGCCATGGCTCTGCCACATACATAATTCTCTGACATTCTCTGAGCCCTGACTTTCCTGATTCATTTCAAAGAGCATGTTTATCGTTCCTCCCCAAGGGCAGGACATCAACTGCAAATGAAGGAAAGGCGCTGCTCCATAATTGGCTTGAATCACTCATAAAAACTAGCCTCTTAAGTATGTCTATACTGCATAGCTCTTTTAGTGACCTATAGAGTACGTACATGGGCAGCCCCCTAGGACAGGTACAAATAACCCTGTAGACATTGAGACTCCACTGAGGCAAGTACTGTAAAAACATGCCTGAAGCCTGTGCATATGTACCCTACACTGCTCTGATAGTTCAGTCATTGCTTCTCTCTACACTACTGTTTTTAGCCTTCCCTGCCAGGGAGTGTCTAAACTACAGGGTTTTGTGGACAAATGTGGACTTTTGTTGATAAAACTATACCTGCGTCTACACAACGCTGAGTTCTGAAGACATATCGTCGACAGAACTCAGCAGTTTTGTCGACGCTGGTAAACCTCATTTTACGAGGCATAACGCCTTCTGTCGACAGAGTTCTGTCGACAGAAGGTATTATTGCATGTAGGGTTGTGTCTAGACTACAGGGTTTTGTTGACAAAGCAGCTTGCTTTGTCGACAGAACTGAATGTAGTCTAGATGCTCTTTGTCGACAGAAGCTTTGTCGACAGTATCTGTCGACAAAACTTCTGTTGACAAAACCCT